ATATTTTTAAGCTGGGGATAAGTGAATCCATGGATAAAGAATCCGTGGCTATGGAGGGCCGACTATATGAGTCTAAGCCATTGCACAACTGGTAAATTTTGAAATGTGGGCCCTCACCAGGACATCATACCCTCCAACATTGTACAGGTGAAAACCAGGACACGTGTGCCCAAGAAACATCAGAATGTGGTAAAGATGGGGGAAATTATTAATGAGGAAGAAGAGTACAAGCTTGAAGAAGCTGCAGAAGTTTGCTTTTGCCTGAGACAACTGGGAAGAGCAAGAGGTCATCCCCCTCCTATCTTTCCTGCTGAGTTAACTGAATAGAAATTACTTTTGCACTTTGAACTCAGTTTGCAACAAATAAACAAAGCCATAGACAATAGGAGAAAGAGGGAGGAGGAGAGAGAAACTGGGACATTTTAAAAAAGCTGAAAAAGTAAAAAAGAATTAATCAGGACTGTCCCTACAAGTCAGGGCAGTTGGAAAGAATATGACATTTCTTAAAGTAATCCATACACAGAGTCCAAAAGTACAAGTGGCTGTGTCAATCTACGATCATTTCTAGCAATTTTCACCTCTGTCAGGACCATGTCTTTGATAAAGTTACCCACAAATACAGTCAGCCCTTAGTATCCATGGATTTTTAGTCATGAATTCAAGCATCCACTGCTTGAAAATATTCAAAAAATATATAAATTCCAAAAATAAATATTGATTTTGCCATTTGATATAAAGAACATTATTTCAGTATGCCATTGTATTTAATGGGACTTTAGCATCCACATATTTTGGTATCCATGGGGAGTCCTGGAACCAAACCCCTGCAGATACCAAGGGCCCACTGTTTGTTGTTGTTTGTTGTTGTTAGCAGCCCTCGAGTTGGTTCCGACTCATGGCTACCCTGTGGATGAAATATCTCCAACATTCCCTATCTTCCATTGCCTTGCCTTGATCTGGCAAGGACTTCCCCATAACCCCCATGATCAAGTCTGTCCAGCTGGTTTGTGATCTTCCCCTCTTCTACCCCCTACCCTTCTTAGCATTATTGTTTTTTTCTAGTGATCCATGCCTTCTCATTATATGGCCAAAGTACAACTGTCTCAACTTGATCATCTTTGCTTCCAAGGAGAGCCTTGGTCTGATCTGTTCTGTTCTAGAACCCATTTGTTTGTCTTCTTGGCTGTCCATGGTATCCTAAGTACTCTTCTCCAGCATCACATTTCAAATTAGTTGATTTTCTTTCGGTCTGCTTCTTTCACTCTCCAGCTCTCACATCCACTGTACTTTGGATTAAAACAGAGATAGCTCATAAAAATGTACCTTTGCTAGGAAATTTCTCCTCCATTTTCTGTGGTGGAGTGCAGCTAAACATAAGAGGGAACAGGGCCATTGGGCAACTGGTAGACAATGTAATGCTTCCCTCTAATCACAAAGTCTCAGGTCTTCATCCATTTGAGCCCTGGTTCCACTACACTACTGCATTCAGGACAGCCCCTGAGAATTATCTCAATATACAATCAGGCTTCTACTGCATAAAGTATCCTGAGTCTTTAAAACAGATAAGAACAGCATCACTGGAAATATCCAGAGCCTGGGAAATGTACTTATTGGGCCATGACATCCAAAACCACCCAGCTAGTATGGCAAGTTATAATAAAACCAAGGTAGAGTACAACCACAGTAAAAGGACAGTATTCCTGAAAGCAAAGCAAGGCAAGGCAGCTTCATTTATATACCGCTTCATACCACGCTATGGAGTGTCTAAGCGGTTTACAACTGTAAGCTCATTGCCCCCCAACAGTTGGGTACTCATTTTAGTGACCTCGGAAGGATGCAGGCCTGAGTCTAGCCTGAGCCCTGGCTAGTATTGAACTCGCAACCTTGTGGTTTATGAGTGAGTGGCTGCAATACAGGCATTTAACCACTGTGCCACGAAGATAATGATGCTGGGTAAGGATGAAGGTAGTAGAAGGAGAGGTTAAACATGCCAGATGGTTAGACTCAATCAAGGAGGCCACAGTCCTAAGTCTGTAGAGGCTGAGCAGAGCAGTTGACAAGGAATTTTGGAGGCAAGGAACTCTCATCCACAGAGTCACCATGAGTTGAGGTTGACTCAAGGACAGTTAACAACAACAAAAGCATTTTGATCTTATAATCTGGAAAACCTAGAAGAAGTTTTTAAAAATATTTTTCACCTGTTGTTGTTGTTGTGTGCCTTCAAGTCATTTCCAACTTATGGTGACCTAAGGCAAACCTATCATGGAGTTTTCTTGGCAAGATTTATTCAGAAAAGATTTTCCATTGCCATCCATTGAGGCTGAGAGCATGTGACTTGCCCAAGGTCATCCAGTCGGCTTCATGGCTGAGCTGAGAATCTGAACCTGGTAACCAGAGTTGTAGGTCAGCACTCAAACCACTATGCCACACTGGCTCATTTCAACCTGATGCCAAAGAATACTTTATCATTTAGTTAGTTAGGGGGGAAGCAGACGAGGGCGTCCGGGACGCTGCGGGACGGTGCGCCGCGGGACCGCGGCATCTGCACCACGGCGCACCATCAGCACCTCTGAAAGGAGCGCTAAATCAGCGCTCCTTTCAGAAGTCAGTGAAAGTGCACCCTAAAAGCGTAGGGCACACTTTCACTGACTTATCCGCTGCAGCGTGTGCGGATGCTGCGGCGGGAGGTTGCCCTCGGAGCGCCGGCCATGCGGAGGGCCGGCTGCTCCGAGGACAACCTCGGGAGGAGGAAGGGGCACCGATCGTGTGGCTGCCCCTCCTCTTCCTTGCCTCAAGGATGGCCCAATTAGCCGTCTGCCGAGGCCCTTAGTTCATTTGTATGCCACCTTTCTCCTGGAGTGGGACCCAGGGCAGGTTCCAGACCAAGTCAGTTAAAAAAACCTTCACAATAAAGTTTTAAAGACAATTAAAATCACCACATAAAACAATATAAGGTTATTAAGGGGGGGTTGCAGACTGCCAGAAATAGTGCAAATTGAGTCCACTTATAGGGTTAGGGTTAGTGCTAGGGAATCATGGGAACTGTATTTTATTGTGGCACCAAAGCTCTCTGACAGAGAAGGCTCAATGTCTCAGAAAAAAAACAGTTCCCATGATTCCCTAGCACTAACACTAACCCTAGAAGTGGACTCAGTTTGCACTATTTCTGGCAGTCTGCAACCCCCCTAAGAAAACATACAAAGGTTCAAAAAGATAGACAAAACATCACAATAAGAAGATCCCCTCTATTGTTTGCTTTAACATATTTGCTTGTTGCCTCTCTTATACTCCAGATACTACAGTGAGCCTTACAGTAGGAATGGGAGGAAGAGGGAGGACAGAATTTAGGGGCAGGATTCATTCAGTGTTGTTGAGTCAATGAAAATTAAGGTGCATCATGTTGGTGCACCTACACTCTAGAAATAATGCAGTTTAATACTACTTTAAGTGTTGTCGCTCCATTGTGTGGAATCCTAGCATTTGTAGTTTTACAAGATCTTTAACCTTCTCTGCCAAAGAGTGCTGGTGCCTCACAAAACAACAAATCCCAGGATTCTGTAGGATGAATCTATGGCAGTTAAAGTGGTGTCAAATGTCATTACTTCTAGAGTGTAGATGCACCCCTAGTCTAAAATTATGGTTCTTAATCACTGATACACCCTCCCCCCCCCCCCCAATGGTGGGATGCAGAATTATTCTTAGTGGACAGTGGGTTTTCATAGTAATTTTCAACTACTAATGAAATTATTCTCTTTGTTTATATTTACTTCAAACCATAGAAGAGACATTTCTATGTCCTTAAAACTTACTATAAGAAAATAGAGTAGCAGAATGATTATTAACACAGAAATGTCCTCTTCATAAAAAGTTTGTTTCTGTCATGGTGGACACCAGGTTCTTTGATGAAGTGATTGGTAGGCTGTAAAACCCT